AATTGGCTTCACTTAGTAATAAACATTTAAGTTTCTTCCATGTCTTTTCTTTTTTAAAATTTTTTTATTATACTTTAAGTTCTGGGGTACACGTGCAGATCATGCAGGATTGTTACGTGGATATACGCATGCCATGAGCTTTGCTGCATCCATTCCCCGTCATCCGCATTAGGTGTTTCTTCCAATTGTTATTCCTCCCCAATTCCCCCACCCCCTGCTATCCCTTTCCTAGCTCCCCAACCCTCCAACAGACCCGAGTATGTGATGTTCCCCCCTCTCCGTGTCCATGTGTTCTCATTGTTCAACACCCACTTATGAGTGAGAACATGTGGAGTATGCCCTTTTTCGGGGGGTGGGGAGGCATATTGTACTGTGGGTATCATCACCTATTCAAAAAGTTAGCGAGTTAAATTTTACCTGTATCTTAGCTCAGTAGTTTTCACTATATTCTGAGGGAACACACCCCCAGGCCTCTAAGGAAGCTTTCAAGGGTCTTTGAAAGGGGAGAGCAGGGTAGGTCCCTGGGTCTTCAAATTCTGCTTCAGCCAGAGCAACTCTGATTCTATCTGATCTTTGGTTCAAGCTTCTGAGTAAGATTAAGTTTGAAGAAAGTGTTTTCCTGCTCTTCTTAAAAATTAAGAGCTGGCTGGCTGTGGTGGCTCATGCCTATAATAGTCCCAGCACTTTGGGAGGCTGAGGCAGGTGTATCACCTGAGGTCAGGAGTTCGAGACCAGCCTGGCCAGCATTACGATAAAAATGCAAAAACTAGCCGGGTGTGGTGGTGTGCACCTGTAATCCCAGCTACTTGGGAGGCTGAGCCAGAAGAATCACTTGAACCTGAGAGGTGGAGGTTGCAGTGATCCAAGATTATGCCACTGCACTCCAGACTGGGCAACAGAGTGAGACTCTGACTTAAAAAAAAAAAAATAAACACTAGTGTTATAGAAGAATATTAGATGTCATGGAGAACTGTTCATTATTATATATTAAGAAATGGGAAATGGAATAAAAAATAAATGTAAATTTATTTACAAGAATAGGAAAAAGACTAGAAGTACAAATGCCAAATTTAATCTCCATAGCATTTTACTATTTCTTTGTGGTCCTCTTTCCCAAATTTATGACAGTTATTTTTTAAATTATTTTTATCAGCATAAATACACATTATTTTTTAATTAAATAGAAAAATACTCTTGAAAATTTAGATATGTTATCAAATAAATGAAATGCTGCTGGTTGACATCTGTGAAGAATTTGCTAGATGAAACCTCCAACTGATATGTCAGAAATGTGTTAGATGTGAGTCAAAGTATTTTTTTTTTTCATTACTCAGGGAAATTCGATGAGGCCGGAAACAGGTGAGTCTCCTTCTGGCTCCCATCAACTTAGTCCTTTCAATATTTATGTCAGTATACCGTGAAAAAATTTGGGAAGAAATGTTTTACTAACCTGGAAATAAGCACCTGTGGCATGCTTTCCTTATTCATAAAGAATGATAAGATTAATAACCCAAATAATAGCCTAATATCCTTAATAAGGGCTACCATTTATTAAGTGCTTATGTGCCAGGCACTGTCCTAAGTACTTTACATCTATTATTTCAGTTCTTATGACAGCCACATGAAGTTTACATATTCCAGTTTTATAGGTGAAAAATAGATGTGATTATATGAAATTAGTAACGTGCTACAATCTTGAATGGTAGAAATAGGATTCTAACCTAAGTATATCTTACTCAAGTGTCTCAAGTCTCAACCAGTATAGTGTACTGTACCCTTTTTTCAAGAACCTATCAGTTATGTGAAGGAATATACAACTATATCACATGATTACAAGTATGACAAGGGCTGTCTTCACCGTCTCTCTCCCACTAGAGCATCAGCTCCATAAGGACAGAGAACTTGCCTGTCTTATTCACCTAGCACAATACCTGGAACATCATAGGAACTTAGATATTTGTTGAATGAACAAATAACTCTGGCTGCACATCAAAATTGCCCATAAAGATTTTGAAACATGCAGATGTCGGGAGCCTACCTCATCTCCCAACTAGCATCATCAAGGGAAGAATTCAGGCAAGCATATGTTTTTAAAGATCTACAGGTATCAGGCATGATGGCTCACACCTGTAATCTCAGCACTTCGGGAGGCTGAGATGGGTGGATCACGTGAGGCCAGGAGTTCAACACCAGCCTGGTGGTCAACATGAAGAAACCCATATCTACTAAAAATAAAAATTCAGTGGGCTTGGTGGCACACGCCTGTAATCCCAGCTCCTCAGGAGGTTGAGCTGGGAGAATAGCTTGAACCCAGGAGGCAGAGGTTGCAGTAAGCCCAGATTGTTGTACATCACGCCAGCCTGGGTAACAGAATGAGAACCTGTCTGAAAAAAAAAAAAAGAAGAAGAAGGGAACTACAGATGATTCCAATGCTTAGTCAAGATACAGAAACCCCTGTCCTAGAGCAGTGGTTCTCTAACTTTAATATGTGGCAGAATTACCTGCAGAACTTGTTAAAATTCCCAGAGCTTCTATTTACCTGGTCTAGGGTAGAGCTTGAGAATTTGCATTTCTTACAAGTTCCCAGATGATACTGATACTGCTGGTCTGTGAATCACATGTTTAAGAACTACTGTTCTAGAGACTTGGTTGTATGGGACTAAATCAAAACATTTTTACCTAGAACTTTAAGCAAGAGATTTAGTCAGACAAGCCAAAATAAACATTGGGCACTCAGGCAATGCAGGTTTTAATCACAGTATTCAAAACATCCAGGAATCTGTCGTGCCCATTGAGCATGTTGCTCTAAAAGTTTCTTTGAACAATTGTGTATCATTTTTTTCTAAGCCAAACTATATCCAGCATTATTAAAGATACTTTCCATAAATAATCAGGGTATTTCAGGCAGAACATGGGCAGATAATAGTTAACAGTATACAACAACTTTCAAACTCCCTTCTTCAATGGACTACCAGAATTAGAAAGCCACTATAAAACCCAGTTAAGCCTTCATCTGATGCTCTGAATAGGGAAAGTTTAGAGTGAGGGTTGACATTTCACATTTAGCATGTTGTTTAACAGCTTTTCATGAGCCGACCCTGACTTCCAGTAAATGAAATAAAACTGGCAGAATTTATCTGAAAATCCACAATCTAGAAATGGAAGCTCTACTCTTTTGGGGGGCTTCATCTCAGTGGCACCACTAGAAAGTCTGATTGCCTGACACACTGGTAACCAATTACTGGCAGTGGCGGGGAGCCAAGGCCCAGCAAGTGTCTGGGTTTGAGAGTTAAGTCTGTGTTGAAGATGGCAGGGGAGAAGAGGACATAACAACAAAATTTTTTTTCATGCCACAAGGGATTTGTGCCCAGGTGGCAACATGTGTCAAAGTCATGGAATCCCTCCGCCTTGGAGTCAAGAGGAAATCTCTCAAAATGGGAAGGGAAAGGTGTTTTCCCCACATCAATCCAGTGTCAGAGACATTCTATTAGTGACCTATGACCCTTCCCCACAATACAGCAATAAAGTGTTCTGTGTGCTAACAACATAGCTTAAAAAAAAGGAAAACAAGGCTAGGAATGGTGGCTCATGCCTGTAATCCCAGCACTTTGGGAAGCCAAAGCGGGTGGATCACTTGAGGTCAGGGGCTTCAAGACCAGCCTGTACAACATGATAAAACTCTGTCTCTACTAAAAATACAACAGATTAGCCAGACATGGTGGCAGTCACCTGTAATCCTAGCTACTGGGGAGGCTAAGTCAGGAGAATCGCTTGAACTCAGGAGGCAGAGGTTGCAGTGAGCCAAGATAGTGCCATTGCACTCCAGCCTGGGCAACAAGAACAAAACTCCATCTCAAAAAAAAAAAAAGGTAAAACAAATTCTGCATTTTTATAAAACTTGATAAAAATAGTATTTCAAACTATATAGTCACGAGAAGTGCACAGTTAGCAAAAATGCACACATTTCACTTGGCATCTCCAGCACCTTCAGCTTTCTGTGCCTGGTCTGTTTTGGCATCTCCATTTTCTTCAGGGTTATTTCCCTCCCTGCCAGTGTCAGCATTTTCCTTCCTTCCTTTGGGAACCTCCTCTCTCTCTCTCCTTTGCCGGGGCCTTTTTAGGGTTGGGCCCTGGCTTTGGAGGAGCAGGTTTAGCAGACAAGCTTGCGGATCTTCTCTGGTTTGTTCTTCACTGTGGCTCTACCTCCTGTAGCATCCCCTTCAGCTTTTTCTTGGGCGTGGCGGTGATGCGGCAGGACGTAGACGATGGATGCAGGAATGCAGCAGCTTGCAGACTTTGGTTGGGCCGCGGTTGTTCTTGCCCCTTCTTCACATTGCTCAGGCTCTTGGGGCTTTATAGGTTTTTCAGCATATTTTTTTTAACACCCTAGAGAAAAACATTTCTTTGATCGGTTCAACCTTAAACTGTTTGGGCCCACACAGGCCAGTTTTTACACTCTGGGAAAGATGTCCTAATCTGCTCAGGTACTCTTATCCATATCCCACCTGCAAGCAGTGTGGTGTCCACTCCCTAGAACTCCGTGGGTCTTGTCCTACGTGGACAGCCCCCAGTTTCTCCTCATGGTGCTCTCTTCTTCCATGATCATCCTTATCCTGGACCAGGAGATCTGGCAACAGGAGCTTTGATGGAGTCTTCTTCCTTTTTTTCCTGGTTATTATTTCAAGAACCAGAGTTCCTGGATGATATCTAGTCTTAGGGTATTAAGAAACTATTATAGACTAGTAAATATGTTTCCATTATCTGCAACTAATAGAAATTAGAAAGAGTTATTAGGTATCAATGAACACTGGGCTTTGGGTGAAAATTGTAAGCTTCTATATCTAGCTGATGGGCCTTGTAACTAATAGTATTTGGCTTGGTTTTTTAGAGTGACTTCCATCTCATGCCTGTTGCTTTCGTGCCATTCATTTTATGTATTTTTAATTGTTTAAAGAAGAGCTGCTCGGGTTTTATAAATGGTGTTTTTCTCCTTCTGTTAGGTCTCTCTGCAATGCAATCAATGTTTACAACCTCACCTGCAATAACTGTTCAGAAAACTGCACTGATGTTCTGTTTAGTAACAAGATTACCTTCTTAATGGACCTCCTGATACACCAGTTGACGGTATGTAATATTATTGCTTTGAGTTAGAAGCAGTTAAGGTTAGAGAAATAGTCCCTGTGGAGAAAACGAAAAGAATTCAACTTATTTACTCTCCAGATGAAAAAAAAATAAAGAAAGTGAAGATGACTATGAGAATACAATAGAGACTGGCAGACAAACTTAGTAATAATTTGAAATTTTTATACTAGATTCTTTTAAGTTCTGATATTTAATGGATAATAGGCTTGTAACACTTGCTAAGGTTACAAATTTACACAGTTAGATTTAGGCTTTGGAATCAGTTGGATGTAAAGCCAAACCTCTAAATCCACAGGAATGAGTACTGTAGAAGGGAAGAACGTTAAGAAAGCCTCAAAACCTCTCTTCCCAGGTTAAGTTAAAAGGGTCAGTTTAAGAGAACTTTTTGATGGATATTTAGATTATTTTAGAAAAGAAACTCCTCTGTTAGAAAGGGGAAAACTTGTTATATTGTTGAAATGGGAACAAGCAGCCAATTGTCACCTTCAATTTTACTTCAGTTCACAGATGTTGAAAGAGGTAAGCTCAGTATAATAGCCAAAGGGTTAAGTATGTCAACTGCAGTTGCCAGGAGTTTCCTGGTGAAGTTTCTAAGCCCCTGAGGTATTGGCACAAAATAGCTCTCAAGCTGCAAGTTTATAACAGGAGATTTATTTTTCAGAACCAATTTACTTCTATTCAGCATATAGTCTAATAACTCTTCCTTAAACTACAAGCTTTCGCCTCTATCTGGTTAATTCCCATGCATTTTGCAATCCTTAACCAAGGCTTAATAGTATCTTTTTCATGAAATCTTCCCAGCCTGACTCTTTCCCCAAATCCAGGTTAAGTATACTTCTTATGTGATCTTAGGCATTATTTCTCTGATAGACTTGATCAAATTGAACTGTATTTAACTATTTTCTTGTCAATTTCCCCAACTAGCCATAAAATCGAAGAGGACAGGAAGTAAGTTATCACTATCTCTAGGATTCTAACACAGGACCTGGCACTTAGTAGATTCAGTACACCATTGTATGTATGTGTGAGAGAATAAATGAATTTTGATACATTGCAAGCGGAAAATCAGAAATTGAATCATGAATCCCTTACAGTCAGATATATTGACATTAAGAGGGAATAGCAGTAAGGGAAAGCAAACAAAAATACAGATCTGGAACTGTTGCACAGTTCAACAATGGCTTTTATAGTGAGTCATCAATCAAAGGCTACGTTATATATGATTCTGTCTAAAAAATAAAGCATTAAAATATTAGTAAGATATTTTAGCAAAATAAATTCTATCAGAAATATTTGAAAGGCAGCACAAGAAGAAAAGATAACGTTTGTTGTGTGGCCTTATATCCCAGGCATTTTAATATATATTGCTTCATTTAATTTTGAAAACAGCATCTTAAAGTCAGTATTACTATTCCATTTCACGGATGAGGAAACTTAAGTCCCAGAGAGGTTGACTTGCCCAAACCTACATAGATATTAAGTCAGAAAGCTAAGAATCAGACCTAGGTGTGTGAAACCCAAGTTCGGGACATTCTGCACAATAACTGACTAATATTTTTCAAAAACGTCAATGTCGTGAAAGACAAGGAAAAAGTGAAGAACTGTCACAGAATGGAGGAGACTAAGGAGACATAACAATTAAATGTCAGGTGTGATCCTGGACCAGAAAAAGGACAGCCATAGGAAAACTGGGAAATTCAAATAAGATTATAAAATAGTCGGTTTTATCAGCTCAATGTTAATTTCTTCCTCTCAATTATCATACTATGTTTTTGTAAGATGTTAACAGTAAGAGACACTGGATTAAGAAATTCTCTAGTTTTGCAACATACTTGTTTACTTAAAATTATTTGAAAACAAGAATGAAAAAAAAAACTTCATGCTCTCCTATCATTCCATACTGCATCATCTGGAAGAATTTACTCTGTGAAGCTTATTGTGTTGGTGATGGAAGAAGAGACATCACTCTGAACAGAACAAGTAATGAAAGAGAATGGCATTTGAAATGGGAGGGAATGAACAAGAAAACTTAAAGAATCTGGGCTCTGCTTATGCTATACATGCCATATGTCATAATATAGATTACATATTGTCTTAGTCCAGGCTGCTATTAAAAAATACCATAGACTGGGGGGCTTGTAAACAAGAACAATGTATTTCTCACATTCTGTAGTCTGGAAGTTCAAGATCAGGGTACCAGCATAGGTTATGGTGAGGGCCCTCTTCCAGGTTTCAAACTGCTGACTTCTCACTTTATGCTCAGATGGTGAAAAGAGACCGAGCTAATTCTTTGGCCTCTTTTTATTAAGGGCACTAATCCCATTCACGAGGATTCCACCCTTATGACCAAATTACCTCCCACAGGCCCCATCTCCAGATATCATCACATTAAGCATTCTATTTCAACATTTGAAGTTGGGAGGGACACAGCATTCAGACTCTAGTACATATGGTAAACGATAGGATGGCAACCTGTATAGAGTTCTGTGGGAGCACAGAGAAAGATATTCAGTAATCCTGCCTGGGACATCACACAGGAAGGACATTTGAGTTAGTTCTCAGCTGCTCATACTAGCTATTGTTAAGTACTAACCATGTGCCAGGAGCTGGTAAGTACCTTGATCCTCTTCTTCTTCTTTGAAAGCCCTAGTTCCCTTTGAATCTTGCTTGTAACCCAAGGTTTCCTGACCTCAGAAAAGCTTTTAATCTCAATGGAGTTGACCACATTCTGTGTTTATTCTTCCCATGAATTTTGCTCAGTTTGGAACTGGGATCCTGGGATATTAGCTTGCCAAACACATTTTATCCTTTTTATCCTTACACATGGCACTTTCTGGGTTTTATCATTCCTTTTGCGCTCTTTAGTGTATCACCATCAATTCTTACTGTTGCTGTGACTGGGTTTATGGCAGTGAGTAAAGGAGGATGTGTTTCCTGGTTTGGGTGGTTGGTGATGGTAATTTTTATGTTTCCAAAAATCACTTGAGCGTATTTTCATTTTTCTTGCTAACTGGTTTTAATGTACATGTAACTGAAATATGGACCACTAACTTGTTAGCTTCCTTTAAATAAGGGATTTAAAAATAGTTGTCAACACATTTGCAAACAAGAATAGAAAAAAGCATAAAAGAAGCTAATTAGTTATTTACAAGACAACTGATTATCATCAGGTTCTTCCGTCTTTCTGGTTGTTTAGCAAACCCAGATGGCTTAGGAGACATTTTTCTTCTAGCCACTTGGAGTGTGTTTTGGCACTCTTGTATTTCATTTTAATTACTATTTGCAAAGCATTGTACAGATGCCTAGGTTAGAGAGGTGAATTGGACACAGTTCTGTGACTCTAGAAGCCCACAGTTAAGGAAGGAAGAAATTGCATACACCAATATTAATGGCTAAAAAAAGCTATGAGAAGTTCTGTAATGTTATCAGAACTACAAAGTAACCTAGACAACCTAGTAGTGTACCTAGCACATAATAGGTGCTTGCTCAATGTTTGATGAACGAATGAATAAATTCTAACTTGGGGAATTGGGAAGATTAGGGGGAAGAAGTCTAATTTGATTATACCTTGAGTACTTTGAACCCAAGAGTTCAAAGCTATAGTGAACCATGATTGTGCCACTTCGCTTCAGGCTGGGCCACAGAGTGAGATCCTGTCTTTAAAAAAGAAAAAGACACTCAATTCTCAGCTTCTCTGGGAGGGAGAGAGATGAGTATAGCATGTATACAATATCCCAGCTTTTTGGAAGGCTGCCTGAGAGACTGCTATCTATCTTGCCTGACCTGGGTGCTGATAGGAGGCTAGCATACTTTGGATGCTGCTGAGAACAACAGAGAGCAGAGAGGCTTGCTGATGTAAAACTAGAGAACATGCCACGTGTATTAGTCTGTTCTCGCACTGCTACAGGGAACTACCTGAGACTGGGTAATTTATAAAGAAAAGAGGTTTAATTGAATCACAGTTCTACAGGCTGTACAGGAAGCATGGCCGGGGGGGCATTGAGAAACTTAGAATCATGGCAGAAGAAAAAGGGGAAGCAGGCACATCTTACATGGCTGGAGAAGGAGGAAGAGAGTGAAGGAGGAGATGCTGCATGCTTTTAAACAACCAGATCTTGTGAAAACTCACTGTCACAAGAACAGCAAGGGAGAAATCTGTCCCCATGACCCAATCACCTCCCACTAGGCCCTCCTCTGTCACTGAAGGTTTCAATTCAAAATGACCTTTGGGCAGGGACACAAATCCAAACCATATCACAGTGCTAAAGACAGATACCAGAGGAAGGAAGAGAATATGATCACTTGAATAAGAAAGCACCAAGTATCTCTGGTTGAGAAATTGCATACATAGGCCTAGAGAAGTTGTATCCTCCCCCGCCACCCTACAAAGTTTTCAGAGGCCCCCAGAATCCCTAGCTGAGCTGATTAGTGAGGGTTTTCCACACTACAAAAGCCAGTTCATAAAGACTGGGAGAGGTGGCTGTTTTGTCAAGTGCACAGATCCCAACAAAACTTTGAAGACATAGGAAGAAACATGGAAACATGGCCCAAAGAAAGGAGCAAAATAGATCTTCACAAACCAATCCTAAAGAATCAAAGACATATGAATTAACTGACAAAGGATTCAAAATAACCTTCATAAAGATGTTCTGTGAGCTCAAGGTAGCAATGCATGAGCAAAATGAGAATATCAACGAGATAGAAAATACAAAAAAAAAAAAAAAAAAAAAAAAAAAAAAAAAAAAAAAAAAAAAAAAACCCGACAAGTTTTGGAACTGAAGAATACAATAACTGCACTGAAAGATTCACAATAGGGATTCAGCAGCAGACTTCATCAAGCAGAAGAAAGAAACAGCAAACTCAAGACAAGTCATTTGAAGTTATCCACCCAGAGGAACAAAAAGGAAAAAAAAAAGAGAGAGTGATGAAAGCCTAAGGAATTTGTGGCATGCCATCAAGCCAACCCATATACCATTATGGAA